CCGAGGCCAGAGCCGCTGTTTGAAGGTGATAAAGCTTCATCGAGCTGGGAATTCCCAGAGGGGTTTTTTATTCTTGGGTTTGTTCCCTCCCCGGGAGCAGAGGAAGCCGCTGTCGGAGAATCGTCACCAGCGTCCCTCACCCTGGTAACGTCTGGCCCGCACAAGTGCTGCCGGGTGGCATCCAATTACCCAACCAGCCGGAAATATTGTAATTAAACCTGGAGCGAGGCGGGGGAGGCACTGCGAGCCCGCCGGGTCTGGAGGATACTCGGGAACCTGAAGAAGCATTTTCAAAAACATATTGTGTCCACTAATGAAAGCCAAGAATTTAATATCCTGTCGGATTCTCCATCTCGGAGGCTTCGTTTGGTGGCGTGAAAGGCGGGAGAGGGGCACGGCGCTGCCCGCTGCTTCCAGCCGGCGCTCCGGGACCCTGGGAAGGCGCTCCCGGGCGGGGGAGCCGGCACTGCCAGCCTGAGGTGATGCCTCAGGGCCTGGAGAGGCTCCCTGCCTTCTGCAGAGGGGAAACCGAGGCGGTGGCCGTCAGGGATGCAGGGATGCAGTTTGTCACATCCCTCAGCCACGCTGCTCCAGGAGGCACCGGCGGGGTTTGGGGATGGGCAGGACTTGGCACCCCACTTGGCACCCCCCCTGCCCCGCTGTTTGGGGATGGGGAGGGCTGCTGGCGCCGGCAGGGCCAGGCAGGATGAAGTCCTGGCAGAAGGGAATGGTGGGCTCGTGGCTGTGACAGGCGGGTGGATCCCCAGCCAGCTGCAGGGCTCGGAGCATGTTGGTGCTGTCTCCCGGCTGGAGAAAGGGTGGCTCTGGAAAAAACGTCCAGGAATGACGCTGGGGCATCCCATGCCAGGGCACTCAGACATCTCTGGTCTCCTTTTCCATCTATTTCCCTCTCCCCCTTCATAATCCCCGTTAATATTGGTGATGGAGTGAACTTGAGTTAAGGTCGGTCCCTTCCCGGTGCTGACTCAGTGATGGCAAAGAGGAACTCGCACTAACGAGGATCCTACCGCCCACTAATTAACGGTGTAAAACTTTAATAAAGTTGACGTTAATGACCGGCTGTAATGGGGGAGTTGGAGGTTCGGTGAAGGCGCTTTGTGGACCTCGTGTGGAGACTCCCTGCAGTCCCCAAATCCACGCGGTGCAGCCCAATTCAGAGCGTCGGGGACAGGCGGGGTCCCCACGGAGCTCAGGGAGCATCCCAGTACCTGGATCATCCCCACCATCCCTTCAATGGCTTAAATAAAATAAATGGCTTAAACAAAATGGCTTAAAACACCCCATCAAACCCGACATTAACTTCAGGGAGGTTTGGTCACAGTGGGATTGTTCCCTTGGTTCCCACCTCCCTTCTCCCCCCTCCATCTCTGGATCTGGCCCTGCGTGATCCACGCAACACCAAAAAAAGAAGAAAAAAAAATACAAAAAAAAAAAAAAAGGGCAGTGGAATTGTTCCCTTGGTTCCCACCTCCCTTCTCCCCCTTCCATCTTTGGATCTGGCCCTGCGTGATCCACATCAACACCAAAAAAGAAGAAGGAAAAAAAAAATCCAAGGAGAAGTGATTTTCCCTTTTCATTCAGAGCTGGGACCTGTTAAACCCTTCCGATAGGGTTAACAGCCCCAGTCTGCCTTTGCAGAGATGCTTTAGAGGATCCAGGGGGTCGCCGGGGCTGGCAGAGCAAAAAAACCCTCCACGTCCCATGGAGGAGAAGTGATTTTCCCTTTTCATTCAGAGCTGGGACCTGTTAAACCCTTCCGATAGGGTTAACAGCCCCAGTCTGCCTTTGCAGAGATGCTTTAGAGGATCCAGGGGGTCGCCGGGGCTGGCAGAGCAAAAAAACCCTCCACGTCCCATTTTAGCTGCACTCGTTTAATCCTCGGCGACACTTGTATTTATCCTGGTAAATCAATGGCTGATACAGGCTTTCTTTTCCCTAGGAAAACTCAGGTACTTTAATTTATTGCCTTTAACAGCCACATCAAAGGCTTTCGGGAGATGAACAGCAAGTGCCGCGGGGTGAATTTCCACAGCCACTTACCATCTTAAAGAGGAGAGAATTTGGGCAATAAAAGGGATTTTGGGGCTGATGTGGGGCTGTGATCCCAGAGAAGCCGTGCTGGAGGCGTCCGGTGAATACGGGAGAAGCTAAAAAAAGACAACTGAGAAATTGGTTGGTAATTATCCTGCTTCCTGCGCAGCCCCGCGTGCTGAAGGAAGGGTAATTAAAGCTGTGGTGTAATTAATGTGCACCTTGCCCCTCCTCTCCGCCTCCCCCCGATCACAGCCAGCCTTCAAAGGAAAACTAATGAGGCGGCCGAGTTCAGCTGAGGAGGAAAGGATGAAAAGAAGGGAAACAAAAAAAAAAACAGGCGATTTTAGGGGTGTTGCTTTGGGCAGGAGGGTGCAGCCCCAGCCCTCATCAGGGTAAATAATTCGTTTTCTGCACCAGCCTGCCTTTTTCTGTCCTAAACAGGGAAAAACAATCTGTAACCCAGGGAATTGTGTGGCTTTTGGGAATCCGCCCTCGGACACTGCTGGGACCCCCTGGGCAAGTCCTTGAGTGGAGCTGGTGGCAGCTTCCCGGTGCCCTGGGGGTGATGATGGATGTGGGCTCGCCCCACAAGGCCTGGGGGCGATGGGGAGCGCGGGGCCAGGCCGTGCTGGGATGCTGACCCTGCCTGTGTCCCTTCCCAGATGGACCGGGGGGAGTTCCAGCAGGACTCGGTGCTGAAGCAGCTCGAGGTGCTCAAGGAGGAGGAGAAGGAGTTTCAAAACCTGAAGGTGAGGTGGATCCTGGGGTCCCCCCGTCCCTCCTGGCAGAGGGGCTGCACCCCGCGGTGCTGGGAACCCTCCCCGTGCCCACCGGGCAGAACCAGCCCATGCCTCACCCAGCACTGTCTGTCCCTGGGCCATGTCCCTGGTGGTGGCCTGTCCCAGAGGGCTGTCCCTGTGCAGGGAGAGAGGCTCTGGCATGCTGGCACTGTTTTGTGACCCCATGGTCCCTGGGCCATGTCCCTAGTGGGCTGTCCCAGTGGCCTGTCCCAGAGGGCTGTCCCTGTGCAGGGAGAGAGGCTCTGGCATGCTGGCACTGTTTTGTGACCCCAGCAGCTCTTAGGGCTAACACGAAGGTGTGGTGCCAGGACAGTGGCGTGCAAGGGACACTTGTGTCCTGGCCTGGAGGGGGCTGAACAGATTGGAATTCACTGGTGGCACAAGAAGACTTGCTGGATGGTTTGGTGTCCTCCAAAGGGGGGCTATGAAAATGGGGAAGGGTCTGGAGGGCTCATATGAGGAGTGGCTGAGGTGACTTGGCTTGTTCAGCCTGGAGGAGACCAAGGGGAGACCCATGAGGGTTTGCAGCTTCTTCCTGAGGGACAGCTCCAATCTCTGCTCTCTGTGACCAGCAACAGGACATGAGAGAGCAGCTGGAGCTGGGCCAGGGCAGGGCAGGCTGGAGATCAGGCAAAGGTTCTTCCTCCAGAGGGTGCTGGGCATTGCCCAGGGAAGGGGCACGGCCCCGAGGCTGCCAGAGCTCCAGGAGTGTTTGGACAACGCTCTAAGGCACAGGGTGGGATAGTTGGGGGATCTGTGCGGGGCCAGGAGTTGTTCTGGATGGTCCTTGTGGGTCTCTTCCAGCTCAGCATACTCCATGATTCTGATAAGTCTCCCATGTCCTGGGTGTATGGGCAGGGCGGGCACCCCAAATGCCACGGTACCAGGGATGCCACCACCAACCTGCCCCGCTTCTCCCACTGCCCAGGACCCCACCAACGGCTACTACAGCGTGAACACCTTCAAGGAGCACCACTCCACGCCCACCATCTCGCTGTCGGGCTGCCCGGCTGACCTGCGCCCGGCCGGCAAGCAGCGCGTGCCCACGGGCATGTCCTTCACCAACATCTACAGCACCCTGAGCGGGCAGAGCCGCCTCTACGACTACAGCCAGCGCTTCGTGCTGGGCATGGGCAGCAGCTCCATCGAGCTGTGCGAGCGCGAGTTCCAGCGCGGCTCCATGAGCGACAGCAGCTCCTTCCTCGACACCCAGTGCGACAGCAGCATCAGCAGCAGCGGCAAGCAGGACGGCTACGTGCAGTTCGACAAGGCCAGCAAGGCCTCCGCATCCTCCTCCCACCACTCCCAGTCGTCTTCCCAAAACTCAGACCCCAGCCGGCCCCTGCAGAGGCGGATGCAGACGCACGTTTGAGCCCCTCCGGGACGCTCGGGACCCTCGGCGTGGGCTCCGCGCTCGGACAGAGGCAGCGGCCGTGGGAAGAGCCGGATCCAGCCCCCCGGAGCGGGGCTGCGGGGCAGGGGACCGGCCGCATCCCCCCTCCCTGGCACACGCTAAGCACAACCCCGCCGAGGACGCGCTGAGCCCCGGGGAGCCGCTCCCCCCGCGGGGCTGGGGACGGCCCCGGCCCCACGCGCACCCCCAGCCGCTCGCCCCCGCGCCCCGCTGCCCTCTGCCCCCGGCTCCTCCCTTTCCTTCGTGGTGTTCGGTGTCCATACTTATAGAGTCCGTGTCGGGGGGTCGGGGGGTCCCGCCAAGGGGGGCAGGAGGTGGGGGACAGCGGCGGGACAGGGACTCCCCGGGAAGGGCCTCTCCACGCTGTATCGCGGCACCGCGGTCAATACAAGAGGTGTTTCTCGTGGCACGCCTGGGCTGATGGCCACCCCGCGGGGACATCGGCTTCCCTGGCACTCTGCCCCGGCACACACCTGGCCGGGAGCCTGGGTGTGCCACGGCCTGCTGGGGCAAGCCCCATGGGGCAGAAATGGCCGGTGGTTGAGGGAAACTGAGGCACGGGGCAGCTGGGGCACCCCACAACCCCAGCGTGGGAGCCAGGAGATGGGGCGTCACAACAGGTAAGGGGATGCGGGGACACAAGGGCATGGGGAGAGGCCACCCTCCCTGCATCTCACAGCCCCAGAACTCCCTCACACCCCCCACACCATGCCCCAGGAGCACCCAGCCCATCCCAGCCTCACCAGGACTTTATTGGGTGCCAGAATGAGCCCCAACACCCCCATCCATGGGTCCCCCCAACACCTGCAGCCCCACGGGGGCAGAGGGGACCCTACACCAGCAGGGAGAAGGCACCAGTCAACCCCTCCATGGTTGGGGGACATCCCAAATGCCCACCCCTGGAGCCAAGCAAACACCAGCCCACCCAAGGCCCCTTGTCCCTGACACCAGTGGCATGCGGGCCCTGGGTGATGGCTCCACCATAAATAAGCATTTAAATTAATTAAATTAATCTGCACCACCAAAGGGCCCTGGCAGACCCTGAAGCCAAGCACCTCAGGGTGCCCCCACCCAGGGGGGCTGTGGGGACGAGTCCCTACGCCAGCGCTAAGGCACAGGACAGGGCCGCCAAGTAAAAAAGGAAATAAAAAAAAAAAAGGGGAGGTAATTAAATATTTGGGAGGAGGTCCAGGGCAGGGAGGAGGCAACATTAGCCTCCAAAGACTCCCATTCCCTGGGCGGGGAGGGGCTAGGACCCCAAAATCAGCCCCTCAGCAGGGCCCTCGTCAGTGTATGAGGGAATTAAGGGAAAGAGAACGTCCAGGGCAAGGGCTCCTGCCCTGGCTCACCCCCTCAGGCCCGCTGGGAGGGAGGACCCCCTACCCCAAAAACCCCCTCCAAGTCCTCGGTAGCTTCAGTGCGTCAGTAGAAAAGGCGCTGGGCCACGGCCCCGCCGGGCCCCCTGCACCCCCAGAGCTGCCCCACCCCGGCACCCGCGGTCCAGCGCGGCCCCCAGCCCGGCCCTGCTCCAGGAGTCCCAGGCCGTGGTGGCGGCGGTGACAACGATGCTCTGCCCTCGTCACTCCAGCCATGCCGGCACAGCGTCCCCTCGCTGAAGGGGACGGTGTCCCCTCGCTGCACAGGACGGTGTCCCCTCGCTGAAGGGGATGGTGTCCCCTCGCTGCACAGGACGGTGTCTCCTCGCTGAAGGGGACGGTGTCTCCTCGCCCTGGGGACGGTGTCTCCTCGCCCTGGGGACGGTGTCCCTGCACGGCCCCACCGCCCTCAGAAGTAGGTGAGGTTCCTGATGAGTCCCAGCTCCAGCATCCGCTTGATGGCCACGGCCTCGTGGGACACGTTGTGCTCCGACGCCTGCAGGACAGGGAGCAGGGGGTGACACCAGAGTCTGGTGAGCAGGGGCCACACATTTTCCTTCCAGCCCTCACACCTTCCCACCCTCCACTTTGCCCACCCCACCAGAAGGGACTTCAGCCCTCCAAAAGCAGGGATGGAACCCTCCCCACCCAATCCCCCTGTCCACGAGCTCTTCTCCTCACACATAAACTGGGGATGAATCCAACTCTCTGTGCCTCCAAAGACATTCAATACCAAGAGAAGTTGGAGGATGACCATCCAACAGTGGACTTCAGCCTTCATCATGGGAGGGGATTGAGAGGGAAGAGCCTCCCACACCATTCAGCATCCTGGCACTGCTCCCCTGGGCTGCCATCCCCCTCCTGGGGGAAAAGTGGAGGGAACAGGGACAAAACTGTGGGGCAAACACTTACAGCCATGGACTTGAGCGTGATCTGTTCGTAGTAGTGGATGGTTTGCTTCTTGTTGGCCGAATCGGGGTAGCCAAAGCCCGCGATGTGCACCAGGTCACAGAAGTGCAGTGCCAAGGTGATGGCCAGCAGCCCTGTGGTGGGCTTCTGGGGAACAGAGAGCCACAGCCTTCAGGGAGCTGCACAGGGAGAGGCTGCCCCCCTCAGGGTGTGCAGGGTGACTGGCCATCCCCACCCTTTACCTGTTTGATCTTCCGTGGTTGCTTCATGGGGAGGTTGAGCAGTTTAGCAGCAGTTACTTCCATGTAGTACGGATTGAGGACGCGCACTTGCTCCGGGTTGGCATCCCAGATCAATGGGGGCTGTTTCCAAAACCCTTTCCGAACCTGCAAGAGCCCAGATGTCCCCAAGGGTGGGGTGGCATGACAGCTGGGTTCTGGAGCAGCCAGGGAGAGGTTGGGCTTGGTTCCCCACCACACTCACCCTCTTCTTGTCGTTAAGGATGGCCTCCATCCACTGGAAGTCCATGGGCTTGAAGGGCACGAGCACCAGCAGCGTGTCGGGGTTGTTCTCGGCCCGGGGGTCGAAGTGGGCTGACTCGGGGTAGAAGAGGCGCATGGTGGTCTTGGAGCCCACGTCCTGCTCATAGCCATGCACCGGGGCGTTGTTCAGCCTTTGGGACATCACAGGGGTCAGCCCCAGCCGCGGGGGCGCTGGGGAGGGAGCGCTGGGCCGGGGCTGTACCTGATCACCACGTCGTAGGTGTTGATGGTGTCCCCCATGGAGCTGTTGCGGAGCCGGTGGCCGTTGCCCACCACGGCACACCTCCGGCACTTGAGGCTGCGGGAGAAAACCCTGTCTCAACCAGACCTGCTCCAAAACTGGGGCGATTTGAACCCCCGGGGAGGTTAAACCTGGGGTTGTCCAGTCTCCGAACCTTCCCATGCTCCATCCACCACCCCTGGGCTGCAGAGGTTCATTTTGCCAAATCCCGGGCCCACAACAGATAAATTACAACCACCCCCAAGAGAGCAATGATGAAGAAAAAGAGAGAAAAGCCCCTAAACCCACCCCAGTGTTACCTCTGGATGCTCTCGGGCAGGGAGTAGTGGGTGATGGACAGCAGGCGCAGCAGGACGTCTTCTGCAAAGCAAGGGCAAGTGAGGAGGGTGAGGAAGGTGAGGAAGGCAGCTCCTGCCTGGTACAACACTCTGAGTGCTGCCCCATCCCTGCCAAATTTGCTCCTACTGTTAATCCCAATTTCAAGCAGATAATCTCTGGGGCTTAGTAAAACCTGGCCCACCCTAAACTCTTTTAGAGGCACCACGTGCACCCAGGCTGAGGAAATAGGCACTGCAGAGTCTAAAAACCAAAGAAAATAGCTTGGGAAAAACCCCCAACAAAATCAACCTGCAGATGTCTTTAGGAAAAGGGAAGTTGAAACCCCAGGAGCAGCAGCAGGATGGACAGACAGATCCCACAGAGCACTGTCACACTTACCACTTCCCTTGGTGCCGTAGGGCAGCTCGTAGAGCGACGGCGTCTTCACCCAAAAATAGTCCTTCAGCTGCAAGAACAGCGGGTGGTCCCTCGTGTAGCTGCCAAGGAGCAAAGGGTCAGTGAGACTGGGACCAGGGATAGCACAGGGAGGGAAGTCCTGCCTCTGCATCCCCCCAGTGCCTGCTCCCAGCCCCAAAACTCACTTCCCGATGAGCTGCGCCGCTTTCTTTTCCACCTCCCCAAGGGGACACGTTGTCTTGTTGTTTTCTTGCACGGGGAAATAAAAGCTGTAAAGGAAGAGGTTAATTAAACCAAATTATGCCTGTTCCTCTGCAGCCCCCTCCTGGCGAAAGGGGCTCCGGCATCCCCAGGCATCCCCACTGTGGGATTCACACTGTGAGAGAGAGATTTCCAGCCGGATTTAAGGCCGGCACTGCATGGGCATTTCTCTGCTGGGCTTGCAGCCTCGCATCAGAAGAGGTCTCTCTTGCTCTGCTCATGAACCTCACACTCCACTTTTCCCATCTCTCAGGGAAGAGAGCAGGGCTTTCCCATCCTCTCGGGCTCAGAAAAGCACCAGCATTTGCAAAAAAAACCCCACAGAGCCCAACCACCACCACACACCAAGGGGGAGCCTCGCTTGTGTCCCCCATTCTCCAGCAGCAGCCGAGGATGCTGCCAGCTCCCCAGTCCCCTCGGATCCAGGGAATCTGCCATGCTCTGGCATCCCTGTGAGGGATGGGCAGGAAGCAGCTGCCTCCCGGGAGTGAGGGAAAGGGCAGGAGGTCCTTTGAACTTGAGTAAGAAGCACTCACAGCTGTGTGTACCTGTCTTCCCGGTAGATCGAGTACCAAACCATCACCAGAAACAGCGCCAGCACCCCGAGTATCTTCCCTCCTGCAAGCCCAGAGGGGAGGGGGAGAGACAAACCAATGTCAGCCACGGGGTTTAGATGATTGCCTGTGGGGTCCCACAGCATCCCTAGCTGGACCCAGGATGGCAGAGCCTTCTCCTCAGGGAGCAGGCTGGGCTGGCACCACGGCCCGGAGAGGAGCGGCTCTAGGATGAGTCAGGTGCTTTTGTCCCAGGCGTAAAAACCACTGTGACGTTTCTGTTTCCTCCTGCCTGCTTTTCATCAAAGCCTAGGCAAACATTACTTTTTCCGTGTGCCTCCACCCCATATCTGTGCAACAAAGTCCAAGGGGTTCCAGGTGCCCAAGCCCAGAGATCAAGGTCCCCAAACCCACCCTCCCCACTGCGACACTCCATCACTGAACTGCAACCACAGCAAAGCAGCATCCAACCCCCAGAACTCCAAGTGCAAATTCCCCAGGCTCCCCATCCCTGCTTGGACAGAGGCAGCTGGGATCCCCGGGGGACTCACGAGACTTGTTGATCATTTTTATCAGCAGGCAAGGGATCAGGCAGGGGCCGGAGCTCTCATCGTGGCTGGTCACCTGCAGCAGGAAAACAGGGAAAACCCATCAGAGCTGACCCTAAAACCCCATCCAAGAGGCACCACCCCCTGCTTGCCCATCTGCAGCTGCAGACAAGCAGATGCAAGGGTTTCCCAAAGGATTTATTTCTTTAAATTCACATTTCTTTGCTGCCAAAAGGTTGGTTTAGAGAGCTTATCAAAGCCAAGCAAGCAGCACTTCCCAAGGAGCTTCAGCCCTACAGGTTAGAGGCCAAAGGAAAAAAAAAAATAATTAGAGAGGAAAAACAAGCCCCCAGTGGGGTTTCAACCACAAAATCCCATGGCAGAGACTTTAAACCCAGCTTAAGGATCCACCTGGCACCAACAAAGTCCAACGTGCCACCACAGAGCCAGTCAGAAAGGACAGGAGCAGCCGAGCAGGACCAAACCAAAGAGCATCACGTACTTGGGGAACCTCCAGTGCCTTGGATCCACCCATCCCGGCCTGGGGAAAGGAAGTGTCAGAGCTTAGTCCCCACTCAAACACTGCCCAGGGAAGCAGGGACACTTTAGTGCTCCTCTGAAACCCCTCGCTCCTGGAATAAGGAGCAAAGAGCCGCGGTTGGAGCCATCCCAGGATCGGCTCATCCCATCCCACCAGGACACGGCAAGGATGGAAAATGAACTTACCAGCAGGGAGAAGCTTTGGGCTACAGGGGAGGCTTTGCTCCCAGGGTGAATCCCGCTCTAAGCCAGGCTCAGAGCTGGGCTGGCTTTGCCCCCGGTAGCTGAGCTCCTCCCGGCTCTGACCAGCCACGTCTCGGTGCTGAATGCCAGCCAAGGGGCAAGGTGCACGCGGGGCTGGGCGATGCAAACAGTCCCTCAGTCAGAGCCTGCCCATCAGAGCCTCCAGGGATTGCTCACCTGCCAAGGGAGGGCACCCATCGCACCCCCTCCCTGCCCAAGGAAGTGCCACTCACAAACCTGACACCTGCCACACACCCGGCAGGGCCACGGCCTCAGCCAGCCAGGAACACCGGGTCTGGGGGCAAAAGTGTATCAAGAACGAGGAGAAATGGGACCAAAGATGGTCCCACAAGAGCCAGGCTCTTCCCTTCCCTGTCACGGCTTCTGAAGTTAAAAGGGCAGGAGAGCAATTAATTAAAAAGGGCAGGAAGGGCAATTAAAAGGCAATTAAGGACAATTAAACCACACTAAAAGCAACAGGACAGGACACTAGAAAAAGAAAATTGTGTCCATTTGACAGCAGAGGGATGGGGCAGGTGAAGTGGTTCCCTGGTAAAGCACCTCCCTCTGAACCACTTTTCCTTTGTAAAACATGGATAATTGTGCCCCCCCTTTCTGGGGGCTCCAGAAAGGGGAAACAACCCCCCATCCCAACTGGCTCTCACCCTGCATCCGTATTTCCAGCTCAACAAGCCCCTCCTGCCTGGGAAGATGAAACCTACAGCTGGGTCTTCACAGGTGGGAGCAACACAGGGAGAAGGCACAGGGGGGTCTCACCCCTTTACATATTACAATTGCTTGGGAAAAGTAAAATTAGGAGAAGATAAAAAGCAACTTGTGCTTCCTGGGGAGTTCTGTTCTTAGTGAAACTGGCCACAAAAGCCCCAAGGGGAAATCCACTGCCTCAGCTGGAGGCTGGGTTTGCTCCTGGGGGGCCTGAGTACCCCTGTTTCCCCAGGGCTGGGAAATTGCTGGGCATCAGAACCTGATTTTATTACCAAATTCACCCCCAGCTTCATCTTTGGGTGCCAAAACACCCAACCAAGCACACTTCACCCCTTCCACCCTTCCACCAGTGAAAGCACTGGGAAAATCTGCTCTCCCCACAATGTTTGCCTTTACATACCAGCTTTTTTTAAATAATTTTTTTTGACAGGTTTATGATCTTTTCCCAGGCTTGTATGCACAAGCTGGGCCTGATGCAAAATTTATCTAAGGCAAACACGGCTTATAATCCCTGAGGAGAAGGAACGTTGTTTAGTGAAGCGATCAGGGAATGCGGAGCAAAACAGAGCACACCCGCTGCCCCCGCACCCATGGTGCCTCTGGAATGAGCTCAAGCTCCCCACAGCCCTGCCAGATCCACAGCCCAAAGCAGAGCAGCTGCTGAAAGCAGCTGAACACCCTGAGCCAGGTCCTGTGTCCTCCTTGGAGGGTTGCTGGAGGGAGCGATGCTGAAGGGTCCTGCTGGTCCCCACAGCATCCCCAGTCTTGCAGCATGCTCAGAGCCTGCAGAATCCCTGTCCCATCATAGCACCTTCAGAGCCCCCTGCAACATCCCTGTCCTATCACAGCATTCTCAGAGTTCCCTGAGTATCCCTGTCCCATCACAGCATCCCCAGTGCCCCCTGAGTATCCCTGTCCCATCACAGTATCCTCAGAGCACCCCATGGCAACTTGGTCTCACAGCATCCTCAGATCCCTCCCACAGCATCCCCAGTCCTGCAATATCCCTGTTTCTGCAGCATCCCTGGCCCCCCACAATGTCCTCAGAGTTCCTTCCCACTGACATCATCATCCCATCACAGGATCCTCCGAGCCCCCACAGCATTCTTCGAGCCTCCCTGAGAATCCCTGTCCCACCACAGCGTCCTCAGTGCCCCCACAACATCCCTGTCCCATCACAGCATCCTCAGATCCCCCAACACAGACCCCTCACCACAACACCCTCCCTGGATCCTGCACTGCAGCATCCCTGACCGGCAGGGAGAGGCTCAGCACTCGCTGGGATCAACCCATCAAGCCTCACTTCCCCAGGGCTGTTCCAGGGCATTGCCTGCCCCACCAAGCCCTGAAGCTGGGGGGAAAGTCCCAGCTGGATCCAGCTCCCCACACCTGGAAGAAGTGACTGGAAAAGCCCTTCTTTGATGTTGCAGGATGCGCCCCCACAGCACCGCAGGCTGCAATTATCGCTGCACCAAGGATCCAAAAGCCCCATGGCCCATTCCCCATCTCCCACTCCCTTCCCCACCCTGTGTTCTGGGAAAGCCCCATCCCAGGATGCTGCAGAGGCAGCTCATGTCCAAGCCTCGTGGAGTTTCCCTGTCTGCCTCTGGAGCAGCATTTTGCCTCCCTGTTTCACCCTGTCCCCTGGGAGATGCCAGAACACCCATAATGACTGACCCTCCTGCCAGGGGGGAAACTCAGAGAGGTTCATCCCTGTATCTCCATCCACCCATTCCCATCTCCCCCCATGGCCTCAATGGCTCCAGCATTTCCAGATTTAAGGCATGTCAATCCACAAAGTGGAAGCCAGCACCTGCCAAGCTGCTCCCAGCCAAAAAAAGGGGAAAAAGAAATTTAAAGGCAAGGAACAAGGACGGAGGTGGGGAGTGGTTATAAATTCCCCCACACCATCCCAGTATGGATGGATGGTGATCCCAGGCCATCCTGGCAAAGCATCATGGACCAGCAGACTTAGTACTTTTATGTTCCCATGGTAACCTGTGGATTGGGAAAAGCATGACACGAGGCAAGGACACCTCTCCTGTGCTCCCACCGTCCCATCCCACACGGCCACGGGACACGGAGCCACCCACTGCCTGGTCCAGCTTCCCTGGCTAAGAAGGATGCTCACTGCAAAATAAGCATCTCTGACAGTTTATCCCAAAAAAACATGCCTTTATTTTTAACTGGAGGAGAGTTGGGTAGCACCCGAGGAAGGGATGCACCCTCAGCAGTGGGAACCAAAGGGAGACAGACAGACAGACAGCCAGCCAGGCCAGCACAGACCCCTTCAGTCCCAGCCACACCATCTCTCCCGAGCTTTCCAGGCACACAGAGCTTTCGGGAACCAGCAGGGCAGATCCTGTGCTCCCTGGAGGACAGCAATGTCCCCACAGAAGCAGTTTGGAGCCCCGGGGTGTTCCAAGCCCCGTCCCGCGGGTGTTCCAGACGCGGCAGGGCCGGGATCGCCCCCACGCCGCGCCCTGCCCCGGCACAACCCACGCCTGCCGCAGCCTGAGCGCGACCTGGGAGGCGGCCGGGGGCCATCCCGCAGGGACAGGATCCACTGCCTGGGCTTGGCACAGCATCAAAGACACCCAAATCCCCAGCCTGGCACCCCAGATCTTCCTCGCCCCGGTCGCTGCAAGCTCCCGGTGCTCAGGGAGGTTTTTTTCCATGCTGGGGAGAAAATCCTTGTGGGATCGCAACAACCACCACTGCAGGCCCAAAAGGCAGCAGGGATCTGGTCTGAGCCCCCTCCAAGAGATGTTGCATGGCAGGGAAAGAGGGGGTGCCAAGGGGATGCTGGGAGGGGGCAAGGGATGCCAAACACCGCAGAGCAGAGCAACGTCAAGAGCTGGAGCTGCAGTGCCATGGGCTGGGGGATGAAGAGGGTCATGAGAGCACAGCACTGCAAAAATCAGCTCCGCTGGACACTGGGCACAACCCCACAGAGGGTGTGGAGCCAGCCCAGCCTGTGCACTGATACCCACATCTATCCTATTTTAAGAGCCCTGCGAGTCACTTTAAAGGAATCTTTAAAGGAATCTTAATTGCCTCTTACTCGGAGAGGCAGCGCTGTTTCCTTTACCATGGTATCCCAAGCACCCAATAACCCAGCCAAAGATTTACGATAGGGGAAACAAGCCCTCGTTGGCATGTGAGTCTTAACAAAACATTTACCCATGACCAGGCTGCAATTCTGAAGGTGGCAACAGCAAATATGCTGAGGTACAATAAGTATTTCTACAGTGGCAGGTCCTCAGGATAAATCCAAGCTGCTTCTGCCTTCCCGTGGCACTGTTGGCTTTAATGTGCTCCAGAGCAATTCAGACCAGCCCTGGGTCCAACCTCTCCTATCCCTCCATGTCTTTTTCAATCCATGCAGCAGAAAAAACAAAGAGATGGGACAAAAATCCCTTCCTACAGCCCCAGACCACCAGCTATGTGGGTATACCTGTTTATCTCACTGCTCTGGGGTAACCCCGGGCCATCACAGAGTTACAGGGCTACAGTTAAGCTACAGTGTTAGAGATTACATATTATTATTTTTATTATATAGGTTTAATCACTCCTTTGCTATTTAAAACACTAAAACAAAGACCTTTTCTTGCTGTATGCAGCTTGCTACACTCTGGAGGTTATGGCTGAGCTGCTGAAGAGAGCAGGGCCACCATGGGCTGACAAGCCCCTGCTAAGGAGATGAGGGCAGTGATAATCCTGTTGGATTTCATCCCTGATCCCCTGACATCGATCCAGGCACACTCTTCCTCTACCTGCCCTGTCCAGCCCCCCTTTGCTGCCACGCTCACCTCGGTGCCGTGTTTACTCTCCGGTATCTCCATCCTCAGGGATCACCCAGGGATGCAGCAGCAACAGCAAAAGCTGCTTTGGCAACCCAGCTTTGAGCCCGTGTTTTGGGCTACATCCCCCCAAAAAGCAGCAGAAAGGGGGAGGCAGGGAGCTGGGGGTGCAGCAGGGTGCAGGTGGGGTGCAGCAGGGTGCAGGCAGCCTCTCCCCGCTCTGCAGGCAGAACACCCACCAGGAGCACCACTCCCTTAGTTCTGAAAGGTAAAAACTAAACCACAGAGATGGTCCAACCCATCCCCAACCCAAAGCCAAGCAATGCCCCAACTCTTCTGGGAAAAGGGGTGGGAAATTAAGGGATATCAAGCTCCAGGGCTGAGTTATCCTGCAGGGAGTTCCTGCTCCCAATGGCTTTTGACTCTGGGGTCCCCTTTTGGGGCTCAGAAGCTGCCTGCCGTTGCCTCCCCCTTGCAAGGCTTACGTGCAGTCTTGGCCCTGTGGTTTCTCTGTTTCCTGTTTTGAAACTGATTCAGAGGAGTGGAACCCCCAGAGCAACGCTACAGCCTGATTTGGCCAGTCCCAAATCCCCTGGGTTTTTCTCTGCTCTTGTCTCTCACTTACAGGGAGAGGCTCCCAGCAAATAACCCGGTCCATCACTTTGCACCCCCAGCATCACCTCAGTGCTCCGTTAACCCACGCAGGGAGGAGAATTCCCATCCCAAGGAGCCCTTTTCCTGCATCCCCAGCGGGGGGAGAGGCTGAAGCCAGTCCCAGCAGGGCGGAGATTCGCTGGCAGCAAGTCACGGCTACTTACGGCCCGTCCTCTCGGTCCAGGCGGGGCAGGCGGCAGCTCGGCGGGATCTACGCGGCCGTCCTCTCTTCCCCTAGGAGAGGAGAAGGGAGAACATCCTCAGGGCTGCAGCCAGGGCAGCCAGGCGCCTCCGGAGGATGCACGGATGGCTGCGCATCCCCGGGCAGGGCAGCCCGGAGCGCCGGGCGGCGCCGGCCCCAGGGCAGCGGGCACGGGCTGCAGGGAGGTGTGAGCTCTGCGGAAAGCCTCCCACCTCCGGAAAGCCTCCCAGCTCCGAGAAGCCTCCCAGCTCCGAGAAGCCTTCCCTCTCGGCCGGCACCGGGCTCCCGCCGCTCCTTAAGGAGGAGGTGTGGCCGATCGCAGCGCAGACCCCGCCGCAGCTCTCCCCAACATCCCTCGGCCTTTCACACCCAAATCGCCTGCCGTGACTCACTCGGACTTTTAGGAAGACCCCACGAGATGGAGCGGTGCCCTCTCCCAGGGAAAGGGGAATGCAGCTTTCCTGCCCTCCTGCGTAGAGAGCGCTCCTCACTCCCGCACCTCTGGCGTCTTTTCCCCCAAAACTCTCCAAACTGCACATCCTAGCCCAGCACTGTAATATCCTTATGATTTGGGGGAGGAAAAGCCCTGCCGAGAAACCACGCCACGCACAGAAGCCCTGCTGCCGTGCTGCCTGTCAGAGAAAGGCTCTGCTCGGCATCCCGGGTCATGCTCCCAGGCAGGGGAAAATGAGGCAGGCGGTGGATTGAGCCCACTGCTATCCCAGTTAGCCCAGGGCAGCAGCTTCGCCACTCTCCCTGTGCCCCTGGCATGGAAGGAGTGTGGTGGGAGCCACGGCTCTCCCCCAAAAAAACACGTGAGAAGGAATGTCAGCTCATTTCGGCGCCAGAAACAGAGATGCAGGTGAGGAACACAAGCCTGTCTCTGTCAGCTGCTCCTTAAGCCCTGGCAGGGAAGGTGCTTCCAAGGGACAGCTCTGAAGGGCCAGAGGTTTCCTCACCTCTCTCCATCTCCTCCAGCTAGAAAAAGCAGAGATGAGAGAGGTGCAAGCCTTCCCCACAGCATGGTTCTCTCCTGATATCCCATTAATTCAACAAAGAGGGCTACATCCTTGTCTGAGGGGTGGGGATGGAAACCACCCGGGAGCCTGAGAAGGTTTCTCATGGATTCTTCTCGTGCTTTCTGCACATGCCCCAGGATGACAGGGATGGCTCCATCCCAGTGTCACACCTTCCCTCTCCACCCAAAGAACCTTCTCTTCCTCCTTCCATCTCTGTTTGCCTTGGAGGGACAATTAATCCCAAGGGCTCAGGGCAACCAGCAGCCAAACCAAATGCACTTGAGGCCACAAAATTCACCTTTGGCACGAGGGTCTTTCCAGAAGCCCTGAATCCACCAGAGCATCCAACACTGCTGCATCTGACACAGAGCCTTTTCATTTGGAGCTGTGAATTATAGGATCCACTAACAAGGTTAAACTTTCCCTGGGGAGCTCCTGCTAAAGCACTTCATGGCACAGCATCAGCCCCTGCCCGTGGAAATGAGGATGAGGAGGTTCAGAGCTGCCTGGGGGTTCCAGGAGGATCCTGCAGCCCTGGGTGAGCAGGAGACTGCGATACCTTAAAGCACATCAGCCAGGCAGGATCCTGGTGGATCCCAGGTCTTGCCCTAAGCTGGTCTTTCCAGCTCGACTGGAAGAGCTGGGAGTTGGATTGCTGCCGCTCTTCCCGGGGTTGTTTTCCAGCCGCCCAAGTGGTTTCTCCACCATGAGCCCATGGTCATGGTCATCCCCAGCCCAAGATCCAGCAAAGTCCCATCACGGTTCCAGCGTCCACCAGGTCAGGAGCCACGGGCAGCTCAACCCATCCGCCAGCTGATCCCAGCAGGAAACGAATGTTGCAAATCCCAGACCCCTCAAGAAGCCCTGAACAAGCTGGATTTTGCTCCTTTCCTTCTCCAGCCATGTTGCTGGCCTCAGTTTCCTCTCCTGCCTATCAGTTTAATCCTTTAAAAAATAATTTCCAAATCTGAGGGGGAAAAAGGCAGGAGATGCAGCTTCTGCCCACTCCCCAGCACCTCCCTCCGGGATGCTCATGGCTTTGAGCAAAACAAAACAAAAACCCAGTGGGCACATCCCTTCCTGTGCTAAAGGCTAAAGCCAGCCAGAACCGGCCCTTGGAGGGGCTCGGCATCCTCAGGAATGGATATTCCACAGGCAGGAGGGGACACACACAGGGCAGGGATGAGCCTCCAAATTCCTCCTGCCACCATCCTCCCCACAGAGGACCGAATCTCCCCAGGGCTGTTAAAATAGGGGAGGGGGAGATGGAGAGGAGTCTCCCACCAGACCTGCGGGGAGGCAGCCGTCCGTCCGTCCGTCCCTCGGTGCTCCATCGCCGGCGCCAGCCTCCCTCGGTTAAAATTACCTCCCGAGGGGGGAGAGAGCAAAAGCCAGGCTGGGAGGGGAATAAAACCCAGGTGAGCTCATCCTCCTCCAGAGAAAACGTCTCCAGCTGGCAGCAGCAAGGTGTTTCCAAGCCCGGCACATCCCTCACGTCACCCCAGTCGCTGTGGCCCCGGGACCAGCAGCTTATTCATTCAGCAAGTATTTAATGGGAGATAATCCAGCTGCTTCCCAACCATCCTCTGGCCGAGCCTGAGTTGTAATTCCAGTGTGGGAATTACACTTTGGGAAGAGGTTTCACTAATGGTCATCCCAGTGGATGCTCCCTGTCCAGGACAGCACAAAAGGGCAACCACCAGCAGAACCCCCACCCTTCAACCCTGTGGTGCTTTAGATATATTAATAATTTATTACATTTATTAAACTATTTTATTAAAAATAAAATAATTTAATAAACCTATTTCTATCAAATCCCTGAGAATGGGAAAAAAAGCAAAGCTGCCCAGCCAAGCCGGATTATCCAAAGCAGCGACCGACCTAAAAATAAACCACTGCTATTTAAGGATGAACCTCCCACAATAACCACCCCCCACCCCAAAAAAAATTAAAGGAAAAAATAGACATATTCCCAAGCTGGGGTGTTGAGCATCACCCACCACACCAAAAAAAGCCTACTTCAGGTTCATTTCCTAGCACCAGTCTGCACTTCCAAGAGAACAGCATCCCCAGGCTTAGTGCTGCTGATTTCCAGACACCCCATGCAAATAAATAATTAAGATTTAAAGCTGCGTTTGCATAATACAGATAATCTGTCGATTTAACTTGTAAATGCAGGGGGGATTATGCAGCAACGTTGTTAATTAGGCAGCAAAGGGCCGGGGAAGCCCCAGCTCCAGGGCAAATGCCAATGGACCACCAGGATGCAGAAGAAGCAAAATGTGTGGGGGACACAGGGCTTTGGCAGTGGGACCTGGTCCTGGGGCAGGTGCTGAGGTGTCAGGGCTCCAAAACCTTGTGTTGATCCATATTTTAACTGAAAATCCCCCCAGCTCCCCCAGCCCTTCATCAGGAGCTGCCCACCCTTCCCACGCTGCCTGCACCACCCAAGCCCTTGAGGGCTGCCGTCACCCCACAAGAAAAAAGGCAGTGGAAAAGGAGCCCGGGGTAAGATTTCTGAGGAAAAATCACATCTTTTTGTTGCATAAAGAGCCTGCTCTGACAGCCGGGCTCTTGGCCGCCCTCAGTTCCCCCACCCCAAATGCCAGACCCCGCCCGGGAGCAAAACCTGTTGAGCCCGAATATGCCCGAACAGAAAGTTCTTTGTGGTTCTTTTTTTTTTTTCCCCCGTCTATTTTTTGGTTTGGAAGTAGCATTGGTGATCGCACAGGGATGGGCCCGAGGAATTCCCAGCCCTTGGCATTGCTCCTGATGCCTTGTTCAAAGGCAGCACCACATTTAACCCCTAAAGCTCCTCACTGCCCTTCATTTCTGACACCACCCCACTTCCCACACCCTAGTCCTGTTCAGTCCTGCATCCCCTAAATTCACTTGCATCCCCCCCTCTGCATTTTTCTCCCTCACTTCTCACTTTCCACCTCATTTTTCCCCTCAATGCTTCAGTGCTTTCCTCCATTCCCAACACAGACAGGTCTGATCCATCCTCATGCCACAAAATCTCACCCGCAGAACACAAGCCAGGGGGGTCAGATGAGCCCAAGAGCCACAGGGCTGCTGTGCTGGGGGTTCACTGCCCACCCAGGGGTGTTTTACTCCCACGGTGGGGGTGCTGGGCTGGCTGGGTGCACTCAGCATCAGCAAAGCCCCAGAGCAGCATTTCAGACTCCTCAGCTCTTGCTCAGCACTCTCCTGCCTCAGTTTCCTGCCACTTTGGGGCTGAGCGAAGCTCTGCCCCATTGGCAATGACGGCAGAGGGTGCAGCAAGGGATCCCAAACCCCAAACTCCATCCCAGCTCATTTACCTCCATTTTAAAAGAAATTTAAGAACCACCCGATGTCGCAAGCAGCTCAAACCCGGCCGGAGGATCCTCCCGGGGCTCCGGCTTGTGCAACACCGCGGGCGAGTTCCAACCTCCCACTGGCATCGGGCTCTGGTTAAAAAATTAAGGCTCGGCTTACACAGCCTGGCCGGATATCGGGATGTCGGATCCGGCCGGGAAAACTTCGGCGGGCTGGGGGAGACATTTTGCAAGGGGAAGAGCCGGGCCGGGAATGGCATCTGGAAGCGATTGAAGGCAAGGAGCCTCTCCCTGGCGCAGCACGGAATTCCAACGGCGTGAGCTCAGGTTAAAGCCTCCTTCACAGACCCAGGATTAGAGAGAAGAACCAAACTTCAGCACAGATATGTGTTTTTAACCCTACAAAAAACAGGGGTGAGGGAACCAGCTTCCTGCACGGTTATATCCGGACGTGGTTTGGTGATTTAGGGTTGTTCTGACTTGCAATAAAAAAAACCAAAACTCCAAAATGGCTCAGAAATCCTTCCATGGATTTGTGGATCTAACTTCTGGCGTGGTGTCAGCAGTCTTCCTTCAGCACTGCACCATCCATCCCTTGGGAGCACTGCATCCCACATCCGAGCATCCCCTGCCAGCACAGACTGCATCCCATGATGGTCCAGGAGCATCCCAGCATCCTCAGGATGGCACGGAAAAGCCGATGGAGATCGCCAGCCTAGCTTGGACCGAGCAGTCCTCCACAAGGAGCTGACCCAGTGGGGGGAGTCCCCAGCCCCTTCCAGTCTCCCCTGTGTCAAGGGACAGGGAGCAGCAGTTGGCCAAACCCACCTTCGCTGGGCATCCCAGCAGAGCAATCCACGCAGGGCAGATCCCCGCGGGACGGGCAGATCCACACGGGGCAGATCCCCGTGGGACGGGCAGATCCCCGTGGGACAGGCAGATCCCCGTGGGACGGGCAGACCGCAGCCCCGCTGTGCTCCTGCCCCATCCCCGGCTCGCTGTTCCGGCCCCATCCCGCAGCCCGGCCCCGGCCCGGCCCGGCCCGGCCCCGCTCGCACGCACCTCCCCGGCGGGGCCGTGCCCGGCCCGGGCCGGGAGCAGCGGCCGCGGCTCCGGGGACTCCGCGCGGGATGGGCAGATCCACGCGGGACGGGCAGATCCCCGTGGGACGGGCAGATCCCCGCGGGACGGGCAGATCCACACGGGGCAGATCCCCGTGGGGCAGATCCCCGCGGGACGGGCAGACCGCAGCCCCGCTGTGCTCCTGCCCCATCCCCGGCTCGCTGCTCCGGCCCCATCCCGCAGCCCGGCCCCAGCCCGGCCCGGCCCGGCCCCGCTCGCACGCACCTCCCCGGCGGGGCCGTGCCCGGCCCGGGCCGGGAGCAGCGGCCGCGGCTCCGGGGACTCCGGCCGGCGGCAAAACACATCCTGGAGAGCGGCCGCAGCCTGCGCCAGCCCGAAACCGCTGCGAGCATCCGCCAGCCCGAAGGAAAAGCAGGATGGAGAGCGGCTCCTTCAGCTGTCAGGGAACGGAAAAACCATTCTCCTTCCTCCAAGGAAACTTTCCAGCCCAACCCCAGTCACATGCAAGGGGTCAGCAGCTGGAAAAGCAAGAGATTAGCAAGTATTGGGTTTTTTTCCTCTTCCCTCCCAAGAAGACACAGCGTTTTCCTAGAAAAAGCTCAATAAACACGAGGATTACAGCTGGAAGACAGAGAAGTGTGAAAGTAAAGTGACAGGAACTTATGAAAGTAACCAAAAAAAAAAAGAGAACCAGAAGTTGCAACGAGCATCATGAAAGCATCAAATAATTTCCTTTCCTCACTGCAAAACCAAAACCACTCGTGCAAGGGAACCAGGGGGCAGGGGATACTGATTTTAAGTGATGGAATGGGTAAAGCAGGATGAGATCCCAGAGGGATCCCAGTGAATCCAGGATGCAGGAACGGGACTACATCCCTCTCCTTACACAGCCATCATGCTACTCCAGAGGAAAAAAATGTAAGGGGAAAAATAACATAATATAAATCTTAAAAAAAAAAAAAAATTACAATAGGGAAAGCTGTGGAGAAGCAGATTCCAGGCTGCCAGCCTGCATCAGCTCTGGAATATTCGACGCTAAAGCAATGGGACCATCACTTCATCAAAGAGAATAAGCAACAGAATACATGGGATTTAGAGATATTGCCAAATAATTAATTAGCAGGACTCAACCTGAGGATTGCTGCCAGCTGAAAACCCCTGAACACGGGCATGGGGAGGGCACTGGTCTCAGCATTCCCACATCCTGCAGCCTGGCATCCACCTCTGATGCTGGTTGCAAGAATGGGGATGACACAAGCTATAAAAACACAGACTTGTAGACATGAGTACAGCTGCTCCAGAGTTCCAAATAGATGTTTTCCCTCCAGGGTGGATCCTCCAGGAGGATGCTCCAACCCCAGATGTGGAACACACCCTACTTGCATATCTCCATAGTGGACATCACTTAAAATCAGTATCCACACAGTTCCTCCTTTTGTATCTACATTTGCAGAGGCATTATTTCCCAGAATTTGGTGCCTTGTTGGAGCAGCTGCTATTAACTCCCTGCCTGAAGCTGGATGGGCAAGCAGCCCTCTAATGATGCAGACAATTAGGGACAGGGGTTAGGGAGAGTCCAGCAAAGCATGCTGATCCCATCCTACAGCTTACAGCAACACGAGGAGCTCGTTAAACATTGGACACATCAGGGGTAGGAAGAGGACACCTAAACCATCAGTTCCACCACAGATCCCAGGTTCTGGCCTCAGAGACAGCTGGCAAAGCCTGGGCAATCCATCACCTGCCTCCAGGAGCATCCAGAGGGAGAGCCCAGCAGAAAACACAGGGAAATTCAGCAGAGCTTCCCGAAAAGTTCCACCACAAGGCTTTATTCAGCTCATCTTACAAGAGATTCAGATCAGACTTGCCAAGCAGCCAGCATCAACCCACCAGGCATCACCCTACTGATCCACCAGGAGAGATGGTGTCCGAGCTGAGGAACACAAGAAAAACACCCAGAGGAAGAACTTTCCTTTGTTCTCCACTCCCCAGAACAATAAAACACCACTGGCTCACCCTGCAAAGACCTGACATGAAAAGATCAATGGGGAAAGGTCCAGCTGCTCCTGTCCCTGCTGGTCTCAGGCAAGCATCCTCATCCCTGCCTGGAAGCAATCCTGTCCCGTGGGAGAAGAGGGCTCCAGGCACACGGAGGGGGACGGGACAGGGTTTATCCTGCACAAACATGCCCACATCCCGCTGCCAGCAGCTCTGTCCACACCAGCCCTGGGTGGGGGACCAGCAGGGACCCCTCCTGCCCCTTTGGGATCACTGCAGCACACCCACCCACCAGTCAGAGGATGCTGAGGGATGGGAAAAGAGGCTCGGACCACTCCACAAATGCTCCTCAGCCCGTTCCGCACGGCAGCGATGCCGTCCTGGGCTGCACACGGGGCACGTCCTCCCCTCCCAGGGCCTCCGGGAGGATTTTCCCTTCCTCACCCCGGCTCCCGGGCATGCCGCTCACCCAGACCCATCGCAAGGAGCCCACCCGTGCTATGGGGAGATGCCAGACCCTCTCTCTCTTCCCGGGGCTCTGGGGTGGGATCTCCCGCCCCGGGAGCGATGCCAAAGGCCGTCTTTTCCCGGCGGGATGAGGGGGTTTGTTTTGCCAGGAATGGGGAGACAGCAGATGGAAGGGCACTGGGAGAGCGGAGGTTTTCCTCTCGCCGCTGCCCACACTCACACTTCAGGCGCTGATTAATCGCGCTAATTAGAAAAATAATCATAATGATTATTTTTCCAAAACCCACAAAACGTAGAAATAAAGCCGCTTTCTCCCTTTCCCATGCTCCGCGCTCGCCAGGACACCGATGCCAAAGGCGTGGGATGCTCGGGGGGGGTCCGAGCTGGGGTGAAGGGGAGCACCCCCACACCCCCAGCGCGCACCCCGCTGCCAGCCCTGCCCGGGAGCTGCCAGGCGGGCACAGCCCCTGCCCTGCCCCGCGCCCGCCGAGCCCCCCAGCCCCCCAAAAAACACCGGGGGCTTCGCTTCCCACCCCGTGCTCAACACCCCCGACTCGCAGCCCCGCTCCGGACCCGGGGGGACCCGAGGGGACCGGGGGGGGACCCCGGCTGCGGACTCACCATGGGGAGCGCGGGGGGGCCGGCGCGGCCGGGGATGCGGGGGGTGGGCGCGGGATGCGGGGCCGGCCCGGAGGGCGGGCGGGGGGCGGACACGCTTGCGCACAGCGCGGGATGGGCGGCGGAGGGAGGAGGAGGAGGAGGAGGAAGGAGGGAGGGAGGGGAAGAGCATCCCGGGAGCTGGAGGCGCGCGGTCCCCCGGCCCCGCGCGGGAGGGCAACAACGCCGTCCCCGTGCCCTTCGGACCCCCAAAAGTCGCGGGGCTGGGGGCAGCCCCTCCCAAGGCAAACCCCGACCCCAAACCCGCCAAAACTGGCTCACAGCAAATTTTGGGGTGCGTGGGCAAAACTCATCCTGCTGGAGATTTATACGGAGTCAGGGGATTTGCATTGTTCCCTCACTGAAACCCCATGAGATTGCGCTGGAAATCCCATGAGATTACTCTCAAACCATCATGAGATGACACACAAACGCCCTGGGGATGGCTTTGCTTAAAATCATCAACTAATATTAAGTATTTTTCTTCTTCCTAAAAATGAATTACTCCTCACTGCAGGAATGCCCCATATCAGACCACCTTGCTCTCCCATGGGATTCCATTTCCATCCCACCCCATAATACATAAAATAGCAGTCAACTTTTGAAGTTTTTTTTTTTATTCCCCTCAAAACTTTTTTTTTTTTTTTTTTTTTTTTTTTTTTTTTTTTTTCCATATCAGACCACCTTGCTCTCCCATGGGATTCCATTTCCATCCCACCCCATAATACACAAAATAGAGTCAACTTTTGAAGTTTGTTTTTACTTCCCTCAAACTTTTTTCTTTTTTTGTGGTTTTTTTTTGGGGGGGGGGGTTTGTTTTGTTTTGTTTTGTTTTGTTTTGTTTTGTTTTGTTTTGTTTTTTTAATTCTGTAGCCTCAGACTCATCCCTCCTGCCCAGGGTGAGTTCTGCCAATCCCTGAGACAACA